CAGATTAATTTATTTTTAATTTCATCCTCATAAACTGTTTTTGTATTTTCTATTATGCACTTCACACCATAAACTTACATTTGTGAATAAAAACATATGATCATAGTGCTATAATTGTATATAAAATTTGGGGCACATATATTACATGTGCAAGTATGTGTTGTTTATCACACATCCCTTCAAAGTTTGGGATATTTAAATGATTTTCCTAGACTTGAATTTTCGGGGAGTTTGAAGATATGTACAATTTTTTACAACCATATCAGCAATGTATTTTTTTTCTTCATATTTCTCACATATATTTATTTACACAATTACACTCATAAGAAAAAGTTGATGTCAAAATCACACCGATGGAAGGACGCATGCTGCAAGCAGCACTAATGTACAATAATACAAATAATTGTTAAAATGATAAACAAAAAGAAAAATGAGAAATGCATATAAAAAGGAAAAAACAAAGAAATAAATTATTGGTGTGGCTAGAGGGACGTAGGACACAACAAGAAGGGAGAGGGAGATGTAAGAAAGATAATAAATAAATAAATAAATAAATAAATAAATAAATAAATAAATAAATAAATAAATAAATAAATAAATAAATAAATAAATAAATAAATAAATAAATAAATAAATAAATAAATAAATAAATAAATAAATAAATAAATAAATAAATAAATAAATAAATAAATAAATAAATAAATAAATAAATAAATAAATAAATAAATAAATAAATAAATAAATAAATAAATAAATAAATAAATAAAAACAAAAAATGAGGAGGAACAAAAAAGAGAGAACCGGACATAATAAAATAATCTTGATTAATGCAAAAGAGAATGAAGAAAAACGAAAAACAAAATAAAGATACCATGGAAGAGTCAAAGGGAGACACGTGGAGAAGAAATAAGAAAAGGAAATGATAACTTGCTATTACCCGTAAGTTTTAGGTTACTTGGCCTCATTGATGGATTTTTAAGAGTAAAGGTGTCTGGATGATACTTTTTTAAGTAAAAGGGCTTAGATGATGTTTTTGTATTTGTACACGGGCTTATTTGACCCTTTTCTCTTTTGGAAATTACACACTTTTGATGTAGTACCTTAGTTTGTTAAATATTTGTAATTTGTTTAGATTATGATTATTCTAAACTTAAAACAGGTCAAAGTCATCAAAAGGATCAAAGAATGGATCCGAAAGACCAAAGAATGTGTAATGGAACAAGACTGTTCGGACCTTTCAACAGTAGTAAACTTGGATTATTAATGCATGTGTCTCATGGTTAATAATCTAAGGGGAATGAATTGTATCGATTAAACCAATAAACCACTTGTGTTGAGATTAGCAATCTCAATTGATTTCATCTTAAGTTTTATTGCTACTATCGGGTCAATATACGGCGTGTGTTCTATATTGACTTGATAGTAAGTTTTATTAATGAACACGTCTCGTTATTAATAACTACCCACGATTGAGTATTCGAGAGGAAGAATGTTAAACATATAATCAGAATCGACGAACATTTCATTAAGTGGACATAAGCAAAACTAGGTCTCCATCTCTAATTAATTAAACCGCATAAGTCGTTCAACTTAGTGTTTAAATATTCTTTAAGTTCAAACAACAATCTAAAACCCACCTTGCTACTATTACATAAAAGAAATGCATTCCTTTCCCTGTGGATACAATCCTTACTTCACTATACTACCTATAAGTATTGTATTGAATACTATTTTGTTTATTTTGTGGCACACAACGACTATAGTGATGTCACCTTCTTTGCACCAGACAATCACCGATACATCGCATTGGACCCGTCCATGTTCCTAGCCCTGATGTGATCTCCAGCGACAATGTAATAAATCAATCCAAAATAGTTGGCCAGACACATAGAAAGGGAGAAGTTGTAACAGGGGAAATTTTCTAGAATATGACTAAAACTCAATGAGTTTCCCAATCTATGATTAACTAGTTTTTGGACTATTATATGACAGAAAATTCCAAAAAAAAAAAAGAAAATTTCGTTTGTATTTAAATGTTGAATGATGAAAATACCCTTATTTAAAATGTGTAATTTGCACTAATTTCGTCCTATTAAAATTACTGACTGTATATTGCCGTTACTGCACGGCATTACTGCACTATATTACTGAACATCGATTAATAATCATTACACTTCCCGCAAAATTAATTCTCTTCTCATTACTTTAGGAATTTATTTATAGTTTTTATTTTTTACTTTTTTAGATTTTTTTCTTTTTTAGATTTAATAATTTTATTATTTTACGTCTAATTAAGTATATTGTATTTTATGGGGACATTAGTGCTCTGTGTTACTGCACTAGTGCTCATAATCATTCCACAACAAACTTCTTCAATGCATTCAATTCATTGTTAAATATTCAATACCATACCCTACACTTATTGCCATGTTCATTGTCAATGCTCAATGACCATATTTAATGCCAAAAAACCCTAAATTCAACCAACCAAAATCTCAAATATAATTTCAATCCACAAGCTACCGTTCCTCAAACAATAATTACAAACCACTTTTACCAAAATAATAATAATTACAAACCACTATCAACCGGTGAGCCTTCCATCAGTTCAATTCCATTGCTCCCTCAATTCCATGGCTCCCGATCTGACGAATCATGGCTCTAAATTGACAACTTTGCTCTCAGTCTGGACATCTGTGGAGGCGGCGTGGAGGATGGACTATGGACGCAGGTTTCTGGCAAGCGACGGCCGTTGATGATGCTATGCATGACACCTAGGATAGACAGACGTCTTCTCAAGTAGGCTACACAACTTCTAGGGTGGCGATTTTGCTCCCGATCCGTCAGATATGCGCGAACAGCAGGCAACCTCTTCGACGACGGTGTGGTTGTACGGCGAGCGCGCGGCGGCATAGCTATACTTCAGGCGGCGGCGCTGTACGTAGGGCGGTGGCATGGATGGGTATTGCTATGCAGGGGACATCGCTACATGTTTAGGGTTAAAAGCAATGCTCCATATGGTATTATTAGCTTTTATAATAATGGTATAAGGGCGGTATAAGAGCATATGAGTCATAACAAATAATTTGTTTATTTACTTATTACTCCGTAATTTATTAATTAATGACACGAATTTTAATTATATTTTGAGAAAAAAACGCATTAGGTCATAGATCGGGAAAGTGATGGAGTTTTAGTAATACCTAGGATAATTATCTGTGGTAATAAATCAACCCATGAGCTGGACCGCTTTCTCAGTCAGCTGAGGGAGCCTGGACTAAAAAGCGGTCTAGCTCAACTGGTCACTGACTCACTCTCTCATACGAGAGGTCTCAAGTTCAAAATTTCATGGAGAGAGTTTCAACTCTGTTTACTACATATATGCTCTCTCCAAAGCCTTCCCCCGACCCCTGAGGTAAAAAAAAGGAAGATGTGTGTGTGTTTACGTAATGCTTAGGTGGATAGAAAGCATTCATTATCTAATGCACAACCACTCGTGTTTGATGCACATAAATTAACATCTAAGACAAATTCATATAATCGCACAACATTGGATATTTACTACACAAGAAAATAAAACTTAATTTAGTACATGAGTAAATAAACATAATTTAATGTACATACATGAAGTACATGAAGTGAAGTTGAATACTTCTTCGATCCTTATATTAATTTAATACTTCTTCCTTATTAAATAACATTTTTTTGGAACAAAGACTAGCCTTTATTCATATCAAAAGTTTCAGGATCATTACATCAATCAAGGAAAAAATAAAACTGACACCAACTAGACTCCAGCAACTACGACTGTAAACCCTATGATGAGCTTTAGAAACGGTCACCCTTGAAAGAGCAACACGAATCGCTAACCATGTAACGGGCTTGACACAACCATCCATATTCCCATAGATCCAAACATGCTTAATGACCTAAAACAAGGCTAAAATCCCAACCAAAACGACAAACCTAACAACACAGACGATAACAAGAAAACAAACGACAAAAAAATATGAAAACTTGTTAGGAAACTTTCACAAACTCCTGCATCTCGCACAACCCATGGCGGTGGCTCAGGAGGAGGCCGTATCCTTGGCACCACTTCTCTCTTGGCCGAGTCTCCTTCCTCCTCAAGCGGATCCTCCTCAAAAATCAGTTCTTCCTCGTGATCCCCAATAGCCATATTCCGGTATCTGTTAGCAATTTTCTCCATCGTCCCTTCTTCGTTCAGAGCCCAATCGATCGGCCACCAATCAGTTTGAACAAACCAAAGCAACCCCCTGCTTCCCATCTTCACCGAGAAAACTGTTTGAAGAAAGATTGAGGCCACACCCTCCCCTCAACATCCGATCACAATCAACCTCAAAGCACCCGCTGACACCTAATCCCTCCCCCGTAGACGAGGAAGAAGAGCGGCGCAGCAAAAAAACTTACCCTAGATCTCTAGGGAGACGTCCGTAGCTCTTGTTTATTAAATAACATTATAAATAAACCATAATTAATACTATGTATATATGCAATATTTATGTTAAGTATTCCTTCCTTATTACTAAAATTCCCCCAAGTAAATTGATCAACTACTATTTGGAAAAAGAATCTTGAAACGCATTCCATGTTTTTAAATACACGCACTTTTGGGAATTTAAAGATGAATAAGTTAATTTTCACTTTCAGATCGAAACTGCACCTTTAAGGCATTAGTTTAATTTGCGGTTGATATAAAATTAAATTACACTCAAGCCGTGGAGATATGCACTTCCTTCCATACATGTTTTAGCTAAAACTGATTTTGAATAAAAATAAGGTGACAACTCCGGTACCTTTCTAAAATATGGGGCTGTACCTATCATTAATTTGATTGGACCACATCACTTTATCATTTTTAATTTAGATTTAAATAATTAACTGCTACATTGTCATTGGTCCATGTGGACAAAGGTATGATACTTTATGGGTACCATAGAATCTACCTAAAAATAAATACAAATATCCAAGGGTGTAAACTAATACGATAGTACGTAACTATGAAGTCCATTTTGAATACACAAAAGTGCCCATACATATATCGTGCTATTAATTACTCTTGGTTTTACATCAACCAAAGCACGAGGTTAAACAAACTAAAGCTTTTCGATCTTTCACCGTGAAAGAAAATAAACCACAGTGAATCGCTGCATAAAAAGTGCAACGGTTCAAAGTTACTATTACGTATAGAACAACATACGTAGTATTATAGTTTATAGTGACTATGGTAAGAACTTGGAACAAGTTATATATAATAACTAAAGTTATAAATCACATTTTTACCTCCCATTTTTCTTAGAGTAATGGAATTTCTTTGATGAAATCTTAAGGAAGGTCGTCGTTGTAAAAGAGTTGGTGGGTTTTGGGGCAGGGGGCCGGGCCAAGAGCAGCGAAAGAGGTAATCATGGCAAGTGAGATGCTTGTGAGGTTGGACGCAAACTCAACTTGACCGCCCAAATCAGATGATGCCGCCGCCGCCTCTCTCAACCCATCAAGGCAGGTGTCCAAATCGGTCAACGCCGCGCTGACCCACGTCAGCACGTCGTTCATGGTCGCGCCGAACTCATCGGGGCTGCCAGTCTCCGCATGCGCCAGCGGCGGCAGGGATCCTTTGATCCCATCCGCCGCATTCCCCACCGCTTCCCGGCAGTCGCTCATGGCAGAATGTTCCTTCTCCGTCGTCGGCGCCTCCGACGCCAGCTTCCTCAATATCACGTCCTTTGCGGCTTTGACGCTGGCCTGGCTGAGCTGCAACGCGAACGCGGCCAGCCGCCGCTTGCTCCCCTGAATCTGGTCGGCGTGTGGGCTCAGCTGCTCCAGGCACATGCTTGGGTGAAGGCAGTCCTTCTCGCAAGAGGCTTTCACGAAGGCCAAGTACAGAGAGCGCTTCTCCGGCGGCGATGACTGCCACCACAACTCCGCTGCGGCAGAAACACCACAACAAGGCAATGTGAGCATTATTACTATTATCATGCTCAACAATAATGGCCGTCTGGAGTAATAATAATAATAATAATACAGCTCGGTTCCCATTTTCAATGGATTAATTTGCTATCCGGCCTGGGATGTTAATATACTAATCACTGGCCGTGACCGACTTTAATTTTAGGAAAGACCCGACCTTTACATACATACATATATAGGGGTGGGCCAAAATACCGAAAAATCGGTGTACCGCACTTACCGTACCAAAAAATATCGGAAAATACCGAAATATTGGCATACAGTCATTTTCGGTACGGTAACATACCGTACCGATTTATTTCAGTATGGTAACGGTAAATGATTTTCAAATACCGCGGTATACCGGTATAATACCGTACCGACTCCCTACTCAACAATTACTTTTAATTCTAATATATTGTAAAAATGCATTACAATTTTGAAGCCCAAAAATAATACTCCCTCCGTCCCGAAAACAACTTCCCGGTTGGACTTACAATTTGACTTTACTGTAGAATGAACTGTTTTGCACTGTTTAAACACTGTTTGGCACTGTTTAAACACTGTTTAAACACTGTTTGGCACTGTTTATCACTTTTTTTATGTAGATAATTTGCCAAATAAGGAAAGTATTGAAGTGTGAAGTTAATTTTGGGACATCCATTTAAGGAAAGTGGGAAGTTGTTTTCGGGACAGAGGGAGTACTTAAGTTGGTTACAAATACAAAAATACAAAAATAAAGGCTCAATTTCTCAAACCCGCTATAACCTTATAGGCTTTTACTACGCTACCTTAATGACTAATGAGTAATGTACAAATGTCAAGAAACAAGTTCATCTTGTTTCAAGAGATTGCAAGTCGTGATGGCTGGGCCGCTAAGTAGCTGACGAGTGAAGAGAGATACACTTATGTGACAAGTGTATCAACATGGGGATTCTGCGAGTCGAGACACACAACTTTGTCCCAAAGTCTTATTCAATTTTTAAGAAATTATAAAAATGACTAAATACACAATATCATATTAGGAAAAAATGATTTTATATCTATGTTGTTTGAATAGTTTTATTTATTTTTGTTAGAGAACACTATTGATTTAATTATATCTATATTGTTCAAGTTATTTTAGGAAAATTTGTTACTTTTTAATATGTGGCATGTTGAACTGATTAAATATACTAATAATAATTATTGTTTAATATTAAATTGACATCAATAGATTATTAATTGTATTTCATAACATTCTAATAATAGATTTAATATGTCGCTAGTAATAACGATTTAGTATATTTCGTTAGTCTATGATAATTTTTTGTATTGGGAGACATGCACAGTAATTTACCGATACCGTACCGTTACCGAACCAAAACTTCGGTAAGGTAAAGGTATGCAAATTTTGTATACCGAAAGTTTTGGTACGGCAAAGGTATGAGAAAAAATATAAGGTATACCGTACAGAACCACCCCTATACATATATACTCTGTAGATCACAGGAGGAGAAATTTAATTCAATACAGAGTATAGTTTAGTAATTTACCCCTTCATTTCCTTCTATACTTATTTTCACTCTGCCTATTACAATTTTTTTTTACCGTAAGACGCTTACATCATTAAAATAACATTCAGCAGGGGTACAAGAACGTGAAAGGACCACATGCAACCATCCGCCCTTGCAAACCCACCACCACAATTTCCCCTGGCATCTTCTTAATCCATATGATTATAGCCTGAATGAACCCGAAATTCATGCTGCTTACCTTCCCAATCGAAACCAGTGGTAAAAGAGAGGAGTCCATAACCCGAACAAAATCACGATCCAAATCTGCTTTCTCCCGAAACGCGAGTCCCCAGCCCTTCCTAAACCTGATGGCGAGCAAGTAAGAGCGAACCAGAGAGGATAAATACCGATATTCAATCGGCAGATTGAAATCGGAAACACGACCTAGCGGCTCGCGGCGCAAGCCCTAGGAGAAACGACCGAACTTCGACCAAGGAGATCGAAATCGGAAAAGTGCCCAGCGGCGATGCCCAACGTAATTATGTGTTTGATTTTACGAAATTTTCTAACATTTTATTTTATGGTCTCTCAAAAAACCATTTTATTTTATTAGGATTGAAAGTCCATTTGGTAATATCATTTTCAACTTATCATATTTATGAGTACTTTTTTGACACACGTAATTTCTCATTTCACACATTGAATTTGTGTAATAATCAAAATAAGTATAGTTAATGTTAGTTTTTCTATTTGAATTAGATGAAATTATTGAACAAAACTATCAGGAATAATATATATTGATAAAATATATTTTAATCCTCCCCTTTTAATTGATAATACGGAGTATATATTTTAAATAAGTTTTCCTATAGTATACTAGATTCATTGAATTCAGCATTTCAATCAAGATTTCTTCACTTTCATCAGATGCAATCATTCAATATGACTTAAAACCAAAAGGTCTCTAAATAAATTTGGAGCTTTTTCTATAATATTAGTCATAAAAAAGTGATGAACAAAAATGTGACCTAATAATTATAACTCCCACCGTCCCAAAAATAACTTCACAGTTTGGCAAACACACAGATTAAGAAAATAAATTTGACTTTACTGTTGGGTGCACTGTTTTGCACTATTCAAACACTGTTTGACACTGTTTGAACACTGTTTGACACTGTTTGACACTGTTATGATGTAAATAATTTGCCAAATAAGTAAAGTATTGAAGTGTGAAGTTAATTTAGGGACATCCATTTAAGGAAAGTGGGAAATTGTTTTTGGGAATGAGGGAGTAGTAATTATAATTATGTTTATAGTTAAAGTTAAAACTAAAGTATGATCTAGAGCGAGTTTTAATTTAGATCGGAGTCCGGCCTAATATTGCTAATAATTAAAGTTAAAATTATTGTTTGACAATTGCTTAATCCAACCAAGCCGTTTCCCCTTTAAGAAAATTTGGGCCACCTTCTCCCTTATATTATATCGGCATGCCTGGCCTTCAAGGAAAGAAGGTTTATATGTTTTTGGACTTTTTTTTGAAGGAAAACAGACAAATATTATTAAATCAAACTGTCCGTGTATAACGAAAAACAATACACTTAGGCGAATTGAAATAAAATAATAACCATCCGATACTAACCTCCCTCTAACCAACAATAATCATAATCCCACCACCTCCTCACTTCTGTATCAGACATAAAGTAGTGCACCCTAAAAAGAGCGATACTAATCATTGTACTTTGCTAGTAAAAAGTTCAAATGATAATTAACTCATAGATAATACACACTATAATAAAATGTGAGGTGGCCTGTTGTTGCGGGCCTCGCCCGGACTACCCATACTAGTGGGCAAAAAATCTAAAAAAGCCTAGCACAAGCCTCTTTTTGTACAAGTTTATTCCCTCTCCTTCCCCATAAACCTCTCCACTCTCTTCTTTTCTACCCCATCCTCCTCTTCTATCCCTACCCTTTCATCTATAAACTTTTGAATCGTTCACATAGCTAGACAACTAAAGTGTGTACACACATTGGTTGGTATGTCTCACACATCGGTTTGCACACTCATTTGTATAGTTTAATTTGCATAGATCCTGGTGTCGGGGTGCATAAAAATCAATGTCTATAACAAACAATTTCTTGCTTGATTGTGATCAATCATTTCTTGTCTATGAAATTATATTTTCAACATATAAACATTTTTATATGTTGCTTAGTTTTGTATGTAGGATCCGAAGTATGCGTACAAATGTGTACAACTTTGTGTACACCAAACATGGTTGAAAAGTATATTGCAACATAGATCAGTACTGCAGTACAACCTCTATCTCACGAGGATAGTTCACAAGATTATATTGCGAATTTAGTCATACATAAAATACTTACAAAATAAAACATGTACAAAATATTTATTCTTTATTCACCTAAACAAAAAAAAGTTGAGTCCAAAGGAATAATATATATGTCAAGGCGAATCAAAAAATGAAACCAAGGATATATACAAAGAGACTAGTAAGAAAAAGCAAGCTCAAGCTAAAATCGAAAGCTAGGAGAAAGAATAACCAATAAGGTAAACCAAAATTTCTTCCACATTTTACTCCGAAGTTTATAGAATCCGCGGTGGTTCTTTTAGTAATAACTGCCACGTTTTGTTTAATTTTTGTTTTTTTTTTAAATTTTAACATGCGGCAGTTTATACATTTAATAACCACCACACGTTTTTTATTGCGATATAGCCCTATGTGGCAATTGAAGCCGCCACATATGGACATTACAAATTGCCGCAACTTTTAATATTTTTACTAGTGATATCAAGACGTATAAAAAATGCAACCAAAGAATATACAAAGAGAGTAGTAAGAAAAAGCAAGCTCAAGTCAAAATTTAAAGCTAGGAGAAAGAAAAATCAATAAGGTAAACCAAAATTTCTTCCACATCATTATGATTTTTTTTAGAGGACATCATTATGATTAAAAAGTTGAATGAACCGAGAGAAAAGCGATATTGTATAGCTAGACCCGGAGAAATATATAGTGGTGTATCTCAACCATAATCAAACATCCTCTGGCATCCTAGAACTAATCAAACATCGTTATAATTGAGAAGACAATACAAGATCATAATCTTCAAAGAGAGCATCATTGTCATAAAAGGAAACGTTATTGGCAAAACCATATTTTGTCAACGAAGATTGATTAGAAATAATGAATCGTGTTACGAAACATCTGATATAAGAAATTGAATAATTCTAGACATAGTAATGACTCAATACCCAAATCAAGTTTTAATGTTTCAATTAAAGACACTAATCACTTGATATGTTACTTATGCATGTAGGCCTTCCTAACAAGTTGCGGATCTCAACGAAAAAAGATTGGGTCAAGGGCTCATGACTATTAACACAAACATTTATAACACAAGTTAAGGCTATTCTATTTATAGCCCTCAATTTACTATTTACAGCCATAAAACTAAACTAAATGCATACACGTTTTAAATGTCTGTTTCTCGCATCACTGTTGATCTCCCAAAGAGGAGGTCGCATGTTCGACTCTCATCCTAATCAAGGATCTTGACATTATGATGAGAAAATATCATTGTTCTAAAAATCATTCTAGGCGTCCGATCAGTCCTCACCTAGGCGCTAGGCGGTGACTGG